CACTTTGAAGTCCAACTTCTGGCGTGTTGACAGGGGCGATTTCAGTGCTCTTCCCCATCTGTCTTCTCCAAAAAAACTCGCCAAAAACCGCGTCAAACATCTCTCGCTTTGGACGGTCCTCGAAGCAGCGTGGGACGACCTCGAAAAGCAGGATCGACCACTTTCGACACTCCGAGGTCCAAAAAGCACCGGAAAGAAAATCAAAAGAAAGAAAACACAGCAAACAAACCAATCCAGGGAACACCTCAAAGACTTCCACAAAACACCTCAACGAACTCCACATCTAAGGCTTGGAATCCCAATATCCAGGTCCACTTGACCCCAACAAAACACGTATGGTGATGGTCATGGCAATGCACTTCACAGACGTCCGGGGTCGGATCTCTCCCAGGGCTCCCCCACTTTGGTGCAGCGGATGTGGCGCCCGGGGGCCTCCCACAGACAGCTGCTGGGAATCCGACGTCAATCAGCAGTTGACTCACCCTTTTAAATAAATTGACTTCTGAGAATTTGATGGTTTATTCCCAAACTTCCCACGCTGAACTCTTCAAGATTCACATTTACAGTTGCAAACCAGTTGCTCTGCCATTCTCCTGCACCGGTCTCCCCGGGACGCCATGGACGACGGCGCTCCGAACGGCTCGGCGCGCCTCCCAACTCCACGGGCTTGGCGGGAGGAACGCCTCGACGGATGAGACGGAGCTTTCGCAAAACCAAACATCAAAAAAGCTTTGCAAAACAAGAAACAAACCAGACAGATTCAACACATTGAGTCAATCAAAAGACAACAAGACAACAAGTTGAAAGGACGCCGGAACATCAGGAACACCAAGCCTGAGAAGAATGTCATGTCATGAACTTAACTAATATAACTGTCTGTTCGATGTTTTTTTGTTTAATCTCCACGCTTCGGGTGCACGACACCCGGCACCATGTTTCTGGGACACCCCGGCACAAGGACGCCGGCCTTAGTGTTTTGCTTCTTGTTCCTTTTTGCTTCTTGATACTAGTAGTGAGAATGCTCCTAGTAGCGATGCCAGGAGCCCCTAGTAGCGTCCTTGCTCCTAGTGGCGATGCCCTTTGTTACTAGTATAGCTTCTTGTTGTTGGACAAAGACTTAGAAATGTTGCAAGTGTTCGGGAGTCCCCCTCACAGTGATCTTGAAACACTGCACACCTAAACAGCTTCCTGAAGGACACTGAGCTGCAAACCAAGACCGAGAAAAACCGTTCTCCAAAAAACAGTTGGGATTTTTCCTTCTCATCTCTGGTTTATCCACTATAGAAAACACCCAATCAAACACACACACAACGATTCCATACCCCTCGCCACCCTGAAACGACCCACGTCGTCTTCGGCTCCCGACGCCAGAGGCTCCAAGGCTCGGGACCTGCACCCGACAGCGACAGAACCGGCTGGGCTCGCGGCTCGCGCGAGTGTGTTCGGTTCACTGTCCGTTTCATGAGCAAAAAAGAAAACGAAAAACGTGTTCGGTTCATGTTCGGTGTGTGTGTTTTTTTTTTTTGCGTCGCTTTTTTTCTTCAAGTTGAGTGGGGGAGTGTGTTCGTTGGGATGTGTTTGGGCATGTAATGATGAAGATGTGAGTTTGGGCGCTGTTTGATGTGGTTTGGGGCGTGGCATTTCCTATATGACGGTGTTTGGGTGTGTTGGAGTTCTTCGCTTCTATCTCTTCTCCTCTTCTCACCACCAATGTCAATGAAAATCCTTGCCAACATCGAATGATGAAGCCGCTGGGTACTAGCTGAGACCATGCGCATTGCCAGTCTTCCCCAGTTTCGCAGTGATATCATTCGCAAGGTGCCTCCAGGAATAGCAAGGCCTTGGGGAGGAAGAGGCCGGTCCTCAGTCGCCAGCGATCTTGGATTGGTGGTGTCTCATCCACCGCAGTGCAATCACAAATCTTTGTGGATTTGATAGACCCGGATGGACTGAGGATGGACTGATGTATTGGAACTACATCTCAGAACACAAAACGAAAGAACACCCAACAACACACAAAGGCGCAAGCCCGCGCTCTACGCCTTGCCGGCCACCGCCTTCTCTGGGCCTTCCGGGCGTCCAGCGTGGCTGTAGCGCTCCGTGAGCACCGAGCTGCGGAAGACCTGGCGCCGGCGTCTGAGTGGCACAGGTCGTGTTCTTTCGACGGTAATCGGTTTGGCTCCTGGTTTGGCTCAGAACCAGTCAATCATCAAATGACCTCCACAGACCGCCATTGATACACTGATATCCACTGGCTTCGCATGGCCTGCGGTGGTGGGTGTGGCTTCGCGACGTACCTGCAAACAGCAAAGGTCCAGGCTGCAACGACACTTTCGTTTGATCGTCACACCAATCATAGCTGATGCAAGAATTCCTCTTCGATTGCCCGCCTTCCTGATTCGCAACCAATTTGCTAAGGAATACATTTTCCGGGGTAGCATCTTGCCAGTCTTTCTCTGGATATGGAGAATAGTGTTACATTCTTTAAAAAGCAATGATGCTGGTGATGCTGCTTTGGCCCCTTGCATGTTTGGCATTTTGTCACTTGCTCTCTGACAAAAAGAATGTACTTGAAAGATTATCCCTTGGTGCTGGAGACCAGCCCAAAGTGGACAAACGATCAACAAATAGTAAACAAAGTGTAGGAAGGCCAAGGGACTTTGATGAACTGTTGGACGATCACGGAACGTCAAGGACACATTTGGAAGATTGACTGAATACTGTGGGACTGCAGGTGGTTCTTCATAAATTCCTTCTCCTCAAAAAGCAATGACATCCTGTTGCTCTGGCGCATCTTCACAAATCTTCTCTATAACGTTATACTCAGGAAGCATGGGGTCTCAACTATATGCTTTTCACCCAAGGTTCATAGCAACTCACCTTCCAAATTGTCGTCTTGCAGATGTTTCGCTTGATCTGAATCTGATTCTCTTAAAAAAAAAACGAAAACCGTTCGAACACTTTCTTTCTGTGCTTTTTTTCTCCTTCCAATCTCCACACCGACTGCTAGAGCAAACCCACCCGGACCGCTCTACGCTCTACTCCCGACCGCCTCTGGGGCCATTGCTGCGGTGGCGATCCCCAGCAGCTCTGCCTCCGGGAGAAGGGTCCATTCTTGCAGAGAGATTTGGGGGGGAATCCTTTTGGACAAAGAACAGAATTCGGAGAGAACAGATCTGGATGGACTCCACAAGTTTACCCTGGGACTGAGACTCTCCGAAACAGAGTCTGTGTCAAAGCATGACATACATTTCCTAATCACCCGAAGCGGCCGAGCGCACCCGGGCGTAAAGGAGTTGCTCTTCGAGAGAGACGGCGCCTGGCAGCGACGAACGGTGTTGTAGGCGCGTGGTAGCAAAAAGGACATCGGGCGTCCTAAGGGGGAAGTTCTGGAGTTCTTAAGCCGTTGTCCTTTTTTGTTGGTTGAAACGTGCTGCAGCGCGCCCCGTTGTGAAACCCCCCCTCCGATAAAAAGGTGCATGGCTTCGTCGTGTTCATCGGCGCAAAACAAATCGGATTGACACAGATCGTCTGGGGCCAATGGTTGTAGCGTTGTGATTGAGGTTGTGGTTCTCACAACGCGGGTTTCATGTGACCTCGGCTTTAAAGAAAACACAACAACCTCCGACTCTCCGTGGAGAACAAAAAAAAAGATGTCCAATGACCTTCAACATCGGTCTTTTGCATGTCAAGTCAAGTCCTGCCCTTTTCTCCTTCTGTGATCGATAGACTTCTGCTCCCCCTACACGTCCACGTCCCCGCGACCTGAAAGGTCCACATCATCGCAAACCGCCGTCCGGCCCGTGTCCCGGGGCGTCCGCTGGGAGCGACCAAAAGCGATCCCTTCTTTGGAGCCCAAGCAGCGGAACCGTTGGGACAGCTTTGGGTTCGATGCGGCAGCGAGAATGGAGGGGCGGCTGGCTCCAAAGGGTATTTTAAGTATATATGTATAATTGCATGTAGAGATCCAGTGAAAAATCCATTGAGACGATTCTATACGTGATGTCTGTGTGATTGAAAAGCAACAGGGTGACCCTGTGACCATTCCAACTCGTCTGGGATATTGTTTGGAGGTCTCCAAATCCAACATACTCCAACTACCAACCGTCAAGAAACAAGTGAACATCGCAATTCAGCACAGGCAACACCGGCCACAATTTCAGAAAACCAATCATTGCAAGGGCCTTTGCTTTAGACAAGTTCGCGATTGAATGCACAAAACATGTGTTGCTTGCAGTCTTCCATTTACCGCCCAACGGTCTCTTTTGTCGGCGCACGGTGCGGTCGTGGTCAAGGCGTGAACACCTTCGGTGGCACTGCCACCCGACGTGCAGCGAAAAGGTCTTGGATTCCACGAGTCCCCTCAGCCTGGCCAACATCACACTCATAGACAGGACAAACGGTTTTCCATAGTGCTTGTACAGTTGTACATACACACACACACTGGTTTGCATGGACTCATGCTTTAATGAGGATGCAGGATGCGCTGTAGATAGATCCAGGAAGATGCATCTTCGACTGCTCAGTGACTCTAGCGAATCTGTCCACTCAGAAAGACCTTGGAGTGGATAATTGGGTGACAGCAACCCCAGTCGCGTGCCTCGTGGACCAAAAGCATCTGCAAGCCTGGTTTATGGCAAGGTTTCAGAGCGTCGCACCCCCAAACTCCGAAAACTATGAGTTCATCCCAGAAAACTGAGAACAAACTGCAAAGAGAATGAGATCAACATGGTAGTGAAACGAATTCCGGAGCAAAGCGGCATCCCCTTCAACAAAACCTCGCGCAGCCCGTGCTTGGCCTCTTGGAAGAAGTGCAGCTCTTCTCTTCTCTTTTCTTTTTTTCTTTTTGCTATGCCCTGGCAACATCGCTTCAAAGCTGAGACAAAGCAAATGCGCAAAAATAGCAGCGCACTCAGTTGAAACTGCTTTCTCCTGGGTGGGCAACCCGCCAAGCTTTAGGTTGTTTAGAGTCAAGTCGACACCGCAAAGACCTTGTCTCCTTATTTCTTGGCTTCTGCCTGGCATCACTAGAAGAAAGTGAACGAATTGATTTCAAGAACAGATTCAAACAAGTATATATCTGCCCAAAACACAAGACACAATGTGAGCCATCGCACTTGATGCCATGCCACTTGATTTGAAAGGGTCATCAAAAAACATAAAGGACAAAGGAACATGCGCAAAGGAAGTTTCGTCTGACAAACGGCCACATGTCTTTTAATGCGGAAAGAATTTCACAATTGACAACAAGAACCAGTCAAGGTACGTACATGCCCTGAAAATTCCTGTTGAACATCAGAAATTCAAATTTTGATGGGTGAAGCATCCCTACCACTAGTGAAGAGGGGAACTTGGAAAATGTCAAGTTACATGTTCACGAATGATTTTTACATGTTTGCCATGCCGCAAAGGCCAAAAAGAGGTCTAAAAGGTTTCTATCTTTTGCTCGAAGTCCGAGGAGTCTGAGGTGTGGCGGCCACAGGTGTCCGCCCCAAAATGGGCAAACCACGGAAAGAAAGGGTAAAAAACACCAACATTATGTCCGTTTTTACTACGAGCATGGTGGCTAAGTCACATCAATTGGATTATGTCACATCATCCCAATGATACGGCCTGAAAAGTTGGAAGTCACATCAGGGGCCCGAAAGTCACATCAGAAAATGGACTTCTGCATGGCACAGCCACAAACAGCTATACTAGGTTTCTTCTCTTGAGATGTGAAAAGTATGTTCAATCTGCGTCTGGGCCTTCCGTGGAGAATTCCATGATTGTCTTTCTTTTTCCGGCGTGCACTCCACACTCCGCGCTCCCCTCCCGCTGGGCTGGCCGCCGCGGTCCGAGCCTCCAAGAACTCCGCGACCGCCGTTTTGCGAGGCGCCAACGCTGCGGGAGTGAAACCTCGGAGGCGTCCGGTGCGCCGCGGCTCGACCGCGTCGCGCCTCGGCACCGCCGACGCCCCGAGGCCGCGGCCGTTGAGGTCCTTCACATCCGGCGACGCCCCGTGCGCCACCAGCGCCCGGGCGACCTCCAAGTGGTCCCCGCTCGCCGCTTTGTGCAGCGGCGTGTCACCTCGATCCGACGGACCCGGATGGAGAGCGGGGCGCCCCCGAGAGGAGCTCCAGGGAAGCGCACCAGGGAGGGGCGGAGGATTCCGAGTGGTAGAATTAGAATGGCTAATCGAACGCAAATAACGTGCGAATAGTTGACTCACATGCCAAAAGTGTGGACAATGCATATATGCAAATTTTTGTGCGATTATTAAACATGGATTGCGCGATTTTTGGCAAAACCCCCCGCCAGGTTTTGTCGACTAAGTGTGCTTCGCTCATCTTCTGCACATCTCATTCAAAGCTGCCCATCGGGATATACACGACCCCTGTCCTGAGGCCGCCGGCCACTATTCATTACTGCGTTCACTGCGGCTCCGGCCGCCAGCAACGCCTTCACCGCCGCGACGTGGCCGCGCTCGGCTGCGTAATGCAGCGCTGTGCCGCCTCACCCGAGGGAGGCGGCCGCCGTCGTGTCGCACTTCGGAGTG